CCACAGCCAAAGACCCTCTTGAAAAGCACATCCTGTGGTTTGATAGGAAGTATATTCAGTGTCTCAGTGATTTCTTCGGAGTTTGAGAATTCCTCATGAAGTTGTTTTTTTAAGTCTTCTATTGAGATCTTGAGGCTGTTGATAAACGGATGGAGAGTGCTTTGGATTTGAAACAGGGTGGTTTTTTCAGCCTCCACTGAAATCGAGATGTCTTTGATCAAATATTTGCGCATGTTGTTGATGAGCTCTGTGATACTTTCCTTGTTATCTGACAGCAGAACACCATCCTCTCCTTTTGAGGCCCGTTCTATTGCTTCTGTTATTTTGTGAACGATGACCTGCAGATTCTTATTCTTCAGTTTGCACAAAGTTTTGTCCTCTGACATTTTTTGCAGGATGTGCTGAAATATCCAATCCTTTACATATATTTCATACTTACAAATGTACTTGACAAAACTTTCAAAGTTTTGCTTTTGCAGCAACTCTTTCTGAATGTTGTACTGGAAAAAGGAGCGGGAACTGTACTCTGCTGAATGGCAACTGGTCAAAATTTCATCCACAATGTCTATTCCCAGAGATCTACTGATGTACTCTTCAACAGCAGGTTTGATACAGAATGTGACGAAATCAGTTGCTTTGCGTTGGCAATCATCTGTCTGTTTGTATAAATCGATCAAATCTGACAAGTACTGAGACTTGTACTTCTCCAGTTGAATTTGAGGATCATTGTCTGACAAGAATTTTTGGTGCATTTTTAGGAATTCCCTTGAGGCAATGCCACAAATGTGAAGTTTCAGATCAATCTCAAACTGTGTATTTGTTTTGTAGAGATTGTAGCTCTGTTTAAGGCATTCATCTACTTTTTCTAGAAGATCCCTTGTGAAGGATTCATGATAATCTCCATTTGTCTTTTCTTTATCAAAAACTAACTGTGTGCAAATCTCAATGACACTGTCTGCAAAGTTTTGTAAATCTCGGTTCCACATATGTTGAACCCTCTTCCTAAAGGAGTCTATATGATTACTTCTGGTCTTGAACTGATCCTTCGCAATTTCCTTCTTTTGGAATGGATGCTAAAACAGCCCGGCTATTGCTGACCCACTGTGGCCCATTTACAACCCACCCCAAAAGTGTTTTAACAGCATAGGGACCCCCATTTTGACTGTTAATAACCTCCCATGGCTCTAGTAAGTTTGGAGCATCTGTGCCAATTAGAAGCTCCACCTTAGAATTGATGGTGGGGATTGTAACCTGACTAAGATACGCCCAATGCGTCAAGTCAGTCTGCTCTGGGATGCTGCTTGTGGTGACTGGCATTTCCATTTGAGTGAAGGTGTCGGGAAGAGGAAGGAAGTTGTCGCTGTCCAGTGCTGAAACTTCGAGTCCTGACACCACATAAGCTGGGACAGACGTTTCCTGATTTAAGGTTCGCAGCAGGATGCGAGTCCTTTTGCCTTTGAGGTTGAGATGTGACATGAGCTCCTCCGAGCAGAAGGTGGCAGAGGACCCAGGATCTAAGAGAGAATACACTTGATGGACATGGCTGCCCTTTGCTGCCTTAACTCTGACCGGAACAATGGGAAGCACACTCTCTTGGTCTCCGGCCCCTATATGACCACATAACTCTGCTGATGCACTGCCTATAACATCAGAGGGCCTTTTTGGCTCTTTAACTGTGCTGTCTTTATTTATACTGTCTTTGGGTTCAATGTGAAGGGTGCTTGGATGAGCCTTCTTGCATATGTTGCAGATGAGACGGTTATTGGAATCTTTACTAATGTGACTTGCCTTTCAATAAAAGAGACAAGATCCAATATTCTTACCCTGCGGTTATGTTCTTGCAGCTCATATGCTTTGTTGCACCATTTTTCCCTGAGCTTGTATGGCAGTTTGAGGGCAATGCTTCTCATGCTGGCTACTGTGTTCAGCTCTTCCATGTACTCCAGGTCCTCCATGGCGTTGCGACAGCTTCTGAGAAACATGGCATAATCCTGCAGGACTTTAGAATCCTCAGATTTCATTTGTGGCTTTTTCCAGATAAGCACAAGAGATTTTATATTCATTTCTCATATCCTCTATCCGGTGTCATGTACTCACAGCTCTTGACTAGCCTTTGTGCCTGGCCTTTGGTGTACTGAATGAGAAATTGTAGTCTGTCTCTATTGTTATCAGTTTTACGTTCGATCATGTTCTCAAAGGAGCGAATGAATGATTTGTACTCCAAAACATGGCCATCAAAGATTGGAATATTACCTTGGGGTAAAGTAGACAACAGTTGTTGTTTCAACATCATCCTGGTCAATTCACTTTGATTTTCCATAATTTTGTCCATGTAACTTTCATGCAATGATGACATGGGCACCGAGGGATTTTGCCACTGTGGCACAGGGGACCGAGTGGCTTGAGCTGAACTTGACTGTGACTGGAGAAGGACGGAGGAAAAACTATTAGCTGATGTGTGTTGTGGTTGGGACACATCACTAGTGGGTCTGGGATGGAGAACGGACCTGGCGTGATGTCTATCTAAAGCTGAGTCAAACAGGGAAAATTGAACATGAACACCGGTCTTGGGTCGGACTACAGGACCAGGGGAAATCCTGTCCTGGAGATGAAGTGAAGACTCCAGCCTTTTATCCAGTTGAGGATGGGTGGCAGCTGATGCATCAGCTGTGGCTTCAGCTGCTTCTGCACCCAGCGCTGGCACTGGAAGTGGCACAAACTCAATTTTATCAGAGCCATACAAATTAAATTCAGCCTCTCTCAGATAGTTGATTTTAGCAGTAGTGGCTTCAATTTCAGCATTCAGTTCCAGTGTTTCTCTCCTTTTCCTTAACACTTCCTCCTGTTCTTCAATCACGTGTTTCTCCTGTAATTTAGACGCCTTGGCCAATAACGCCACTCGTTCGGCCTCAGCGTTAATGCGCAATGATGATGATGTTTCACTTGGATCTTTGGACGCACCTGATTGCGCATCAGTAAAGTCAAGGTCCGCAGCGGCGTTATCAGCGAAATCTGGCAGAGGATCATCCACTTGCGCAATAGACGAAGTGGCCTCGGCTAAAATGGGGGAACTGGGATCCTCTATAGCTCTAATCCACTTTGTGGCTTTTACAATGAAAGCCGTAATCTGTGCGCATCTTGGCTGATACCATTTTTCATCGTCCTCATGACGGGCTTCCTCATTCAATGTTTCAGCATAAGACGCATGCAGGTCCTTAAAGTCGGTAAGATATTCATCGAACTTAACCATATTTCCTTTTACCTCATCAATAAATTCCTCTCCAGCCATCAAGTTTATAATGTTCATTCTGCGAGTGATATGAGACACAAGCCTTAGGCCGACATTTCCTATTGTCTCCAAAGCGCGCCGTTCGAAGAGTTTCCTCCCAATGAATCCACAGCTTGTCATTGACTGTTGTAGTGGCAGAACTTCATTTTGGATTTTTCTTATAATCCCTTATTTCCAGTTTCCTTCGTTTTACCACATGGAGAAAGCAGCGGTGCAGTGTCAGACTCGCAGTTTGTGATCGAATAAATCCAGTGAGAGTTGATTGAAGAATGATGCCGGTAATTTATTGTAACTTAAACAAACACAGAAAATAAAACGCATTGTTTGCAGAGGTCTTAAAATATTCTATAACTGGCAGGACCAGGCTACAGCTA